GTTAAATATTCGATAATTATGTTACAAAATACCAATAGTTTTTTTTTTATAACATTTTTATTTTGGAAGGAGATAAGAATAATTGTACAAAATAATTTTTAATTGGTATTAATTATTTTTATTATTAAATTTCAGTCATTTTGCATTTTTATATAATTTACAAAAAGGCCACAGGCGCTTCTGTCTCTCTCTCAAAGCTGCTACTAACAAAAATGTTCAGGTAAAAAATAAAAATATTATATTCCAAAATAATAATTAGTTTGTTGTATAAATTATATAAGTCATTAAAAAAAAGGTGAAGGGTGAAAGGTAGTAGGTTACAAGTGGGTCACTGTAATGGATGGTGTTAAATATGATTTCAATGATATAATATCATTGTATAAGTAAAACTATTCTGAGCGAAAACGGTCAGTCAGCATAGGTATTCTAAGTATATTTGATGATATTATTGTGAATAAAGTAATTTATATATTTACCTATTTACGTGGAACTTTGTTTTAAATTTTCAATCTTTAGCTATAAAAGTTGAACATTTTATACATTTTTAACTACAAAATAATTATTCAATTTTAAATTTAATACATTTTGTCAAAATTTTAACTTTAAATGCTTATAAAAAAAAATTGTGCCTATGTATTTTTAATATTTTCATCTGCTATTGTAACAGTATATAAGGAGCCTTGCATTACATTTTAACGCTTTTTTACCTTACAAATAAAATTTATTGATATTTATAGAAAAAAAAAAACTAAAAAAAATTGAAAACTGACAATGTCCGTAAACAGCCCAAAAAGAGTCAAAATATTTTCAAAATTGTATGGTGTATACAAAATGAAAATATAAACATTCAGTAAAATTTTTATGTACCTATACAGTTATTCGTTTTTAAATAACAATAAAATAACAAAACCGCTACATGAGAAATTAAGTGAATATCCAGTATTGTAAAAATATGAATTCTCAACTCAAAATAATTTGCTAATTTTCGTGGTTTTTCCTTATTTTGTGAATATTTGTACTTTATATGCTCATAAATAAAAACTGTGACTAAGGATTTTTAATCTTTTTCAAATATCATTGTAACAATATAGTAGTAGCCTTGTATTACATTTTTAAGCTTTTTTACCCAACAAATAAAGTTTTATTGACATTCACTAAAAAAAAGACTAATATAATAATTGAAAACTGAAAATGTTCTTAAGCAATTTAAACCAAATCAAAATATTTTGAATATGTTATCGTGTTTAGAAAATGTAAATTTAAACAACCGGTGAAAATTGCATGTATAGACGTGCATTTTTTTTAGAGTTACAGCAAAAACAAAAATCAATTTTACGTAAAAATTCCCGTTTTCTCTTAATTTTTATGTTCGTTTTCTCGTTGCTTTTAAAAAATACTGGGAATTTAAAATTTCTCAATGCACCAACTAGATTCGTTTTTCCATCAAACAAGATACTGAAGTTGAAAATAGAAGCATTATTTCAACTACTATCGTTTACACAGACACACAAAAAAAAAAAAAATAGATGAACGTAATACCTAATCTTGTAAAACTTATGAGCATATACTAATTATATTTAACACTTATGAAAACAAGTGAGATAATAGATAAGTGTTTTGCCTACATTAATAATTAATAACTTGTTCACGTTAATCGTGGTGTATTATTATTATTATAGTTATTAAATATATATAATGTGAGGTGTGAGTATTTATTTTGGATGTTCTAGTAAAATTTAGTTTTGTTTTTGATTGACCGACTTTAACTGGTGCAAATACAATATGTACATCGAAACTACTAATAATTTTGGCGTTTGGTTTTGTGTTATGAGTATTAAAAAAATATGTTTTGCAAATTTAAAAGTAACAATCCTAAACTGTTTGTAATTCCAATTTATATTGTAAAAAAAACTTGCTATCTATTCGTATAAATGAACCATTGTGGCTTTTTACAAAAAGTTGAGGCAGTTTTTAACATTTCGAGTCGCGCTAACGAGTGCCAACCACTCAAATAATATTCAGGGGCCGAGTGTGTATTTTACTATAGGTACTTCACAGTTAACATTTAGGCCAATTAAATTATAACATTATTGATTGAAAAAGTTAATATCGTCGTGCACATACGAACGAGTTGTTTACAATTTGTTCGTTGGAGTTGTGTTCGGCGGGGAACACTTTAATTTATAGGGGTACGGGTGAGAGTCGTTTTAAAATTTTTTTTATAAAATATGGTTTGTGCGAACGTTTGATTTGTATGCACGCAGACTACAATATTATACGAATCAAACTTTGACCGCACCATGTGCAAAAATAATTTGTATTCAAGCAAGTGTTTCTCTTTTAAATTTTAAAATATTTTTCGCTGAATAAAAAATAAAAATAATTATTTTAAGTTTTTGCTTACTAATTCGTATGCCGTATATATATCGTATATATAAGTATGTATCTATGTAATTATTTTAATATTTCAAAACTTATAATGGATTTTAAAATCACATAATTCGTTTATAATATTACATAAAATCAAACTTGTTCAAGCTGATGTTTATGATTGTATTCCGAAGGTATACCATTATGCGAAAACAATTTAAATTTAGGGTATGGTATACAATATGATTTATATAACTTGTAAAATATTTATGTTAAATAACTGAATAAAACAAAACAAAACATTTCTACTGAATAGTATTATTCAAAGTATTTCCGGACAAGATGATGTTTTATGCTGAGCTTAATTATTTTTGATAATCTTTAGTGTTCGTGAATCAAAAGAATAACTGTGAATAGCTTAATGATATCATGTTTGTACAGTGACATAACATTTTCCGTTGCGGACATCATTTTAAATTTAAACACCCCCATTAGAGTGATAAATATACAACTTGAAACCATTTAGGATGCCAACTGCTCTATGATTTACGTTGTTCTATTATTTTATTATCATGTGGTACAATCTGTTTCCATGTAATATATTTGGTCCGCAGTGTGATATGTTGTACCTAGAATATTTACCCAATTCTCTGCCACTATTCAGTTTAATACTCGCAATACTCGCCTAAACTCTGATAAATGTTGTTGTTGGTTTTAACTCAAGTGGGTTATATATTCTTATAGAAACAATATAAATTATGCTAGAGTAATTTTTAAGTTTTTGAGTGTCTCTTAGCTTTAATCTAAAATAATGTTTTTTAAAGCTTTTGTCTTTTTTAAGAAATTGTCAAGTACTGGATAATTTTTAATGTTCTTGGTAGGTATTAATTGCATATTAAGATTTGAGAACCATATACGTGAGGATATTTTTATTTTATAAATACTCCAGTTTTATGAGTTTCAGAATTCAAAAATTAAAAGTACCCGACTAAAATATTTATTAGAATTACAATTGTTGAATTTTAGATAAGGTACCTGATAAAATGGTTAGTTGAAGTTAAAATCCATTTGAAATTTGGATTGTTTGTTTAAGAAACTTTAAGGAATATAACTGACGTTGTTTATAATTTTATAATTGTATTATTAAAGTAAGATAAAGTTTCTTTTATTTTTGTTGATTTTTGTTGATTTTTATTATTGTTTTTCTTTTTTATGATTTAACGGAAAATTAATTTTAAAGTTTCGTTAACAGTTAAAATAAAAATAATTATAGTTATAATATTATAGTCTTTTGTAATTAATAAAAGGATTTTGTTGTATATTTAATTTTTTACCATTTATCCTGTTCAATTTTCCCCTCGATATAAATCATTTTTTCCATCTTAAAATAAATTAAATAAATCAAGTTTTTACATATTTAAAGCTTTTTCTTGCTTTTCTACATATTTTTTGAATATATGTAATTCATTTTTCATCTTGAGTGTAGTATTCATTTCAAAGTTGTTAAAGTTTCTTATTAAAATGAGATAATAGATCTACATTTTTATAATTTGATTAAGTTTTTTTCTTTATTGAACTAAAAATTGTATTTACAATCTATAATTACATGTATTACAATAAGTAAATGTGATGGGGATGATTAGTGGGAGGGGGAAGTCACCCAATGGTGGCACCCCGTGAATTTGATTAAGTTACGATAATATTCATGATATTATTTGGGGAAGGGTGAAAAATGTAATCAATGTTTTTATGAGCCACGTATATAGGATTTAGTATATAATATACCATATGATAATACAATTAATACGTCACTACAAAGTGAAATATTTTACTATTCATTTAAATGATTTTTGGGTACTTATAATGATTTCAGATTTTTTATGTGAGATATACGATGTGATTTTTTATGTTTAGATACACGATGTGTATCTTGTCTTAAAAAGAAACAACCAATTTTTTTTTTATATTTTAATAAATGTAATATAACTATCCATACGCATGCAATATAAGTAATAATTATTGGTTATTGTTCATTTTGACTTTAGAAGGAGCTTGTAAATATTTATAGTTAGATATGCATGGTGAGTTCAAATGATTTGATCATAAATTATGGAGCAACCGTTTTCTGTTGTTTAGTGTGATTCTTATTTTATGTTAATGCGGGGACCAAGTAAGACGTTTGTCGAATGTTGTTCATATATATTTAGTCTTTTGTGAATTGGGTATTTGTATATTATTAAATTGGACAATTTCCATTTCTTAATGAAAACCTTATGTGTATAGATTTAGATTAGTTGGATTCGGTAACTTTGAAGCACCATTTTGCTTACAAATCGACCAGGTTCCCTACTTAAATGTGACTGTAGTTTTTCAGTAGTGATTACTGGGCCTTTACGGAAGAATACAACGGCTTTATCGTCTTTGTAGTTTTCAACGAACGTGTTATTAAATGTTGGTCCTTGCAGGAACAGCATCTTGTATTGGAGCTTCTTAGAAAAGCTCTGATTCAACGCGAAATGTAAAAGTGCGTTCAGTAAGATAAAATTAAATTGTTAAAAAAATCTAAGGAAGCCGGAAGTTTTATTCTTAAAAGGAGATATTGGTGACATACGTCGTCGAAAGCTTTCGAAATGTCTAGAAAGGCAGCTGTGTTATATTTTTTCCAATCGAAAGCTGTCGATATTTTTATTCGAGCGTATACACTATATACATATATCTGGTGTAGGTTTGGTTGAAACAATAAGGGTTGAGTTATTAATTTGACAACCAAATTGGGTATCTTTTATAAGGTTTGGGCTTTTTAAATAATATTATGGATTCGTTTTAGCAAATTCTTTAAGATTGTTTTGATCAGATAATATAAGCGTAAAATTATTAATCGTAGATGGGTAAATTGTGTGTGTCCTCTGAAGATTAAATACATTCAATTGCTTTAAATTGAAATAACCAAAATTTTAGGTACATCAAAATAAATAAATTAAAAAAGAATTTCACTCCGAGCAGTTAATTTCGAGATTGTCACGATCAATGGCTGGTCTTAAAGAAATGTCCAACATAGTAAAATAAATTGCCGATGGTTTGAATCGTAGGTATTATGTAGTTCGAGTTCCATTGTAAAAACGTATAAAGCGTAAGTGTCAGTAATCTGGAATACACCTTTATACCCGGTACTTATATCCCAAGCTCCTAAATTATTGAATGCGGTTACGAAGATAACGTAGAGTGTAAATTAATTGTGTTTTTATTTCCAGAGCCCTGACCGAAACGGATTTGGAGTTCATGGGCGTGAGGCTCATGCCTGGTTATAAAGACCCCTATTATAAACGGTAAATTAGTTTTATTATTTTGCTTTGAAGAACGTTTCATATTTAATTATGTTTTAATTGTTGTCTTTTATAGACCAATTACTAAAGGAGAGATTGGATGCTTCATGAGCCATTACAGAATTTGGGCAAAGGTAATATTGCTCTTTTAAATATTTAGTTAAATTAAATTAAGTTATTATTGAGCGTGTCCCGCATATACTACAATTGACATAATATAGCAATAATATTTTTATCAATCATTATATAATATGTTACATAGTGAAATAGTTCGCTCGCGAGGTGCAAAATAAATTATCAATATAACATGTATATTGTACAGATCCGAGAATGTGGTACAACAATTATCGAACAGTATAAACATTCCCAACTATAAATAAGGTTGGTTTAAGCGATCATTGTTTCAGTGAGGTGGTAGTGTTTCGTAAATTTATCGTAATATTTATCCACCCTCGCGTTTTGAATTGAATATTATTATGACGCCGTCTTGAGAATTGCGCAAAGAAAAACTTATCCTTTGAGTTCCTTCTTCTATTTCTGTATGGAAATTCATTATTATTATAGTGTTTTTATGGAGTCTCGATTCCACTTGCGGTAAAATAAATATTAGTTACGGCACACGACGTGTGTCGTTGGTTCGTTGGCGATAACGATGATAATATTGTCGCCGCGGAGACTATAAACAGGGCATGGTGGTCGTAAGTTTCTTTTCGATTTTTTCAACTGTCGTAAATCCATTATCCCAATGATATTGCACCGTTGAAAACTAATGTCACGCAGAAGATGAACGAGGAAGACGCCTGTTTGCTGATGGATGGGTGTGCAGGTGGGGACTTGGGGGTATTAAGTAATGAAGTTGAGAAATGTCTTGAAACGAAATCCGTAGTGTGGTATTTATTATATGTATACCTACTTATTGTAGTATAAAATACTACTGTAATAGTATACGTACTGTGTAATTATTTTTCAGAATATTTTTCTGAGTATGCATACAAATTATATTTTGAATTAATTGTCGATACGCCATAACGGTGTATAAAGTTTTAATAAGTGGAGTAGTTGACTAACCCTTTGTGCGGTACTCTCTGTGGCATTCTACTACGCTCATCAAAACTTTTAAATATTTATAACTAATTAACCACATGTTTGGAATTCAATTTTTCTACATAAAAATCTCAGAAAAATATTTATACTAGATGGAGAATATTGAATTCAAAACTATATTTCAAAAAAATTAAAATACTTAAAAATAGTAAATGATTTGTTTTGTAATAAAATCAAATTATGTTAAAACAATATTTTTATAAACGTTTTTATTTTTCAAGTTAATAAGTTTTACAGTTTATAATATCACATTATATTGTTATCGATTAATTTATAGCATCTACCTTATATGTATACAATAATTTTACTGGAAAAAATATTTAACAAACAATATAGTATTTGATTTTATAAAGCTCAAAAATAGTTGAGAAAGAGATTCAAAATGTTACTCATGGTAGTTAATTATAACTTATAACTTTAGCCCAAGAACAACTTGAATACAATAAAACAGTTTTATAGGTCGGTACATTATTTTAATTATAAACTTATTGCATTTTTAACAACAATGAATTAAATAAAAAGCGTTTTCAGTAGTTCAATTGAAAATTCAAAAATTGAATTAGAGAAGGTTTTAAGGTGATGTGGGGAAAATGCCCCCGCGGGTCTTTGTTGGAAATTTGGCGCCACTGATATGTACGACCCCGGTCTCTTTGTCTTTGCCCCGGATGCCACAAGTCCTTAGGATAGCTCCTTGGGTAGCTATATGTCTAGCTATATGTTTATTAACAAGTATATTTAAAAACAATAAGATTAATAATAATACAATTAGCTTAATGGACTTTTTCTTATAGGTACTATAGTCTATAGGTACTTAAGATGTTGTGCTGCAATATGTCGCATTAATTTGTAAAGTGTTGTTTTATACTTTTATGTTTATAAAAAAAGGGGTTTTACAATATACATATATACAGGGTTGCTTGCTAAGCATGCTCGCACCTCATTTTATTCTTTAATAATGCATTTTATACAAATTCAGAGTTGTAATTTTTTAGTACCTAAACTTAAAGACCATATTTTCAAATATGTACTTAGATTTTTACACGATTACAGTGTTGTTACAAACTTTTTTTTTTCATGAAAACCACAATTTTGTACTGTTAATTGTTATTCAGATGATTTTTATAATAATTAAATACTATAATTTTCAATTCATCAGAGACCCCATATTTATTTTCCTTGGATTATTATCGTTTGTAGGTAAAAAATTACCTAACTGTTTGAATTTTAATTTATGTAAATCAATGTTTTTAAAAAAACCAACTAACTACTTAACTATTTACTATAAAAAGAGAGATTCATATTTGAAAAAAAGAATATTATATCAACACGGGACATTACAAAAAAAAGGATTTTTGTTAATATATGCATTTAAGTTCAAAAATTCTGAAAATCCAAATTTAAATAAATATTTGTTTATTAAGGAAAACATAATGTTGAGCGTGCTCGGGGAATCACCATGTATGTATCATATAGTAGGCACTGTAAAAGGCGAAGGATATTTTTTCAATTATTATCATAGGACCGTAATCGAAACAAACAAACGTGAATAGTTAATAAATTAGACGTTATGGAATTACGTATAATATATTGTATACAGTTAACATCAGTCATTACTCATTACTATGGAGTAGTTTATATGTATAACATATGTTTACCATTTTAAACGGCCTGCAGGTAACTGATAGGAAAGTGTTGTTTTTAGTATACGTATATTATCAAATGACAAGTTAAAAAAATCAATTGATCTGCCTATTTCCGATGAAATAATAAAATCTAATAATAATACCGAAATCGTCTTTTAAGTCGAGAATTCTTTGTGTTCAAACTACAAATAAACCTGAGAGCAGTATTCGTGATGTCCAACGGACAAGTGCGCATTCACGTGGAATAGAAAGGTTAGGTAGGTTACACCACTATTGTGTAATACATACAACAACAGCCTGTCGAAGGTGTTGTCCGGACGTCCATCGAAAGCGGTGTGTCTATAATACTCTATAGAATATAATATATAGAAGGAAACTAGAATAGAATTTATGTAGGTGTGTGTAAAATATAAAGACTAGGATATATTACGGTGCTTTGTATGTTTTTCCAATTCTCTTGATTGAAAGACCAAAGCGTTTATATCAGCGGTAGGTATATGTATATATATATATTATAGTATAAGTATTGTAACATAATAATTTGATGTAATAATAATTGCAATACGACGTTTCGATGTCTTCGTTATTAACCCCTATCGCATATTTTGAATTTTCTGGTCGTTATTAGATTTCCAAAATAGTTGAGTCTCATTTTATTACACAATAGTAAAATAGTTTTCAATTATAGCGTTTGTTTTATGATTTAAAATACGCACTCGCGCGTACCAATCAATTGGAATGTATCATATTGTACGTTTATATAGTAGTCATAATATATCGGAAAACTTCTATTTATGAACTTTCGCTATCAATGAGCGCATGTGTAATGATAAGAATATTTTGCAGCCGGTTCATTCTAAATATCAAATTAAAAATTCTATAATTTACAAATAATACGATTTTATATAATTTGTTTTTGGTTCTTGTGTTGTACATTATTCCTTTAATCATAGGCAATCATAATATAAATCTATATTATAAAAAATTAATATTTATTATTTTTTTTTTTACTACCTACCTACTTTTTTAAGCGAAAATATACTCCAGAAGTATCTTTCGAGTCTTATCCGTTGTTTATATCTATTTTTGTTTTTAAACTTATTTACTTGTAATTTATTTACAGCGGAGAATATAATTGAAAGGTTGTGTGATTAGTTGTGCTCGTTGTCGTTCAACGTTGTTAAATAAGAAAGAATTAAAAATGTATGATTAAATTGTTTTTCAAAGAATTATTTTTACTTTTTTGATTTTATTAAATATTTCATTGTATAGTACAATAAATAGTTAAATGTTTATAAAATGATCTGCCTTTGCGGTAGTATTATTTACCGAATTTGTTCTCATTTACAATTTATAAGTAATTTTAGATTTTATAGTTTGTAACATCATATTATTTATACGACTATGTACATACGAATCCACTCGTTTATAACGAATAAATAATCTAAAATATTATATTGAACTCATATAGCGACAAAAGACTTTCTTGTTTATGGATTTCGTGTGGATGTGTAACTGAACTGTATAACATAACTGAATGCTCGGCCGTATAAAACGTATACATGTAGGAAACGGCTACAATATATCTTCAGTTTGTCAGATAAATCAAAATTGGTTATAATATAACATTGCACTAGTACAATATGTTATTTCAATATAGTATTATACCATATTAACATTTATACAAAATATTGTGTATACTTTCTTGTTCTAAATCATTCTATGTGGAACCACAGTAGTTCACGAAACTATACGAAGGTTAAAGTTTATAGTAATTTATAAGGTTGTATACTGCGTGTATATAGTTCCAAAACTAAGAGTTACACAATTCACGAATTTAACAGTATTTATCGAAGTCCAGTTCGTATAAAACGAGAGAAATAGCGCGTTCCGTGAATTTGTAAGTTATAGATAATATTATTATGTACCTATATTTACTTTAGTTTTAGAGTAAAATGGTGTTTTCAACCGCAGAGATCAATAGAAGTTTTGCGGTTTACCTGCATGTTTTTTTTAACCGTTTATTCTCTGAGTAGGTATAGTAGTATTGTCTTGTTTATGTACATTTTTTTGTTTTTTTTTTTTCAAAGTTTTTATTAATTTTGTTTGATGTTTTGTTAATTGTATAGTATATTGTTTTCGAAGGATCATGTGGTTTATATTAATTATTTTAAGGTCCTACCACTACACGAGGGCGGATTCTTATTTTAACGAGTAGACGTATGTTGAGTCTAACTTAGATTCGGGTTGATTTAGGATTTTCTTTTCTTTTTTCAGTTCAATTATATTTTTATTCGTCATATGATTTATGATTGTATTTATGATTATATTTATTTTATAGGAGATGATACAATTTTGATATTTGATATCGTGCGTTATGCAATAGA